TCTTTAGTTTTATCAGATTTATAAAAGAAAGATACAGCTTTACGATTCTCTCCGAAAACAGCCGTGCTCCTGGAGGCGTGCAGTGGGCGGAGCTAAAGAGTTGCGAGCACTTGCGCGCCGATTGCCAACAAAACACAAAAAATGAAAGCAGTTTTACTCACCGCCTGCGATTCCCGCTCATGACCAGGATATTTTATCGCTGGGACCGCTCTATCTTTCAGTATCAAACGATCTGCAAATCCAGCGTCGAACTGGGCTTTGTTTATAAAACATTCGTCATCGAAATGACGGGAACAAACACACACGTGCGAAACTCCATTGCTGTCCCGGAAAAACAAACTGCATCCACTGTTCCCTTAACGCTGGGTTCTTTGGGAAGCTGAACAAGGTTATCTTTCCCTCACATCTAAAAACACACTTCTTTGGAAACATTCTTCTCGAGCAAGTCCTGTGCAGCGCTACTGACGACTTCCGTAACCGAATGAAGCAGGTTGATGGGTGCATGCTCTCGCTCTATTTGCTGTGTGCACGTGCTCTTCCGGGAGAAGTGCCCATACAAGGAATTCCTCTCTTCGTGACGTCATGAAGAGCCATGCTCAAAAAAACAACTTTCCAAAATGTATTCAAACCCAGAAGGAGTGTATTTGACACAGAAATACTACGTATACGCACAAATCGTTTTTTTTTTTTACTTTGGCCATGTTTAGCATGATAATCCAACTCTTTAACAGTGTAAATAACTCAGAATGCATGAAATGGCATTAGGCCTCCCCTTTAAGTTTTAAAAGCATTCTCATGAGATGTTTTTGGCAGGTAGCATGAGTAACTGTTTTTTTTCTCTAGTTTGGGCGATGGCTACACATTCCCTACCCGCCTAGTCAATGCTGACTCAGAGCAAGGCAATGCTGAACACCAGGCCATTAAATGGTAATTACAATCTCATTTGTAAACAATACCACTAGTCACTTGAATGACAGTATAATTCTGCAGTTTGGCATGAATTATAATCATTTTCCCCTTCAGTTGTTTCAGATCATTTATGTTGAATCTTTTTTTAATCTCAGATCTGTTTTCCCAGAAATGTAGTCTTCGGAGTGTCAACATTAATTTTATAATGTAATGTGAGGTGAGGTTTATTCTGGGCCAGTGAAAACATCCGTAAGCGTTTGTGACTGACACATAATGGTTGTTATGGTAACAGCACTGTTGATGGACAGACAAACCCCAGACCTCTGAGTGAGTCACAGAATCATCTCCTAGGCAACGATATGCACTCTGAGGAGCAGAAAGACAGCAGCCCGACAAACATCGGTACGTCACCACTCAGCTTTTACACCCCTCATAAATGCTAAAGAACATTGTGAATTTTTTTCGAGGCATCACTAGACATGATTAAAAATCGAATGATTTCACTGAATCTTTGCCGCTTTGATACTCTGCTCCTTAATATACACCCGCCTGCTCCCTAACGACATATCACACTATAATATGAGGAAATGTATGCATTTATGAAATTGATCCGTCTGGGTTTGTCTTGCAGAGGTGTGTCAGCCTGTTTCAATTACTATGGAGAATGAGTCCTAATCAGGTGAGTCTTCAGTTTGAACATCCAGCCAGTGTTACTAGCCAGGTTTCCATCCAAGGATTTTTTTGGCGAAAAAAATGTTTAGCACTTCAGAATGTTTACCGATATAGCTTATGGAAATGCCATTTATCGATAAAATTGTTGACACAATATTTTTTCTGTTTAACTTTAGTGCATAAATTCAATTTTGATACTTCAAATGTCGCAAAAATTTGTTTTGAAACACTTTTTGTCGAGAAAAGGGGCTTTAACGCAAATAAATGTGGTGTCATATGACAGAATTAGCCTATAGGCAGTGTCTGTGTTTGTGGTGTTGCTCACGATAAAGCACCATTTCTCAGTAGTTCAGAGGTGCATTAAATCTATCATATTCATATTATTAAATTGTATATACAATTATTTTATTATGGTAAAAATAAGATGTTACCTCTCAAACATAGCCTGTTTTTTTTTTCTTGATTAGCCTACACTTTAGTAACGTTGCAAGTTAAAATTTATTCATTTTGTTCTGTACAATGCAGTACAATACTGTAATCTGTACACTGTAAAAAAATTAAACAGTGGTTTCAACTTAAAGTGCTCATGCTGCTCATATTTCTCATATTAACCGGTTAACAGTTAACCTACAGTAAGAATTTTGACCGATTAATACAGTCAGCTAAACCGTTTAAGTCATTTAAGTATTTTTTTAAATGTAATTTTTCAAAATATTTAAAAAAGTTTGCTGCATGCATGGTTAATAATATAAAATAAAATTGTGTTTTTGAGAGAGAAAAAAAGCAGGTAAGTCACATTTAATCGCATTTTATTAGGAAATACCGGTAGCCTAAATAAAGCGAAATGTTTACAAACATTATAAACATTATAAAAATAGCTAGGCTATATGCTATTTTAGTTCCCCTCGTTCCACAACAAATCCTTTAAATTTAATGGTATACTCAAAACACAACAAGAATGAAAATATAAGAAGCCTAAACGAACGACAAGCCAAAACTAAATAATTTAAGGGTAACTGAAACCGAAACCGACTTGGCCTCACAAACCACTCTCATTCAGTACGAAACCAAATGTTTCCATATTTGCTATATATTTGGATGCCAAACTATGATTTATTATGTAGGCTAAACTGGGTTTTGTACTCGTGCTCCATTATCCATGTAGGCTAAAACAAAATGTGCTTGGCATAATTATCACGAATGGCACAGATTGTACTACGGGCTATTTAAATTGAGCAGTGTGTTTTTTTCAATATGTTTGGCTGACTGTATTTTATGATGATAATGAACAGGCTGCATTGTCAAGTTTAGCAATACTTAGAACTGTGTGCGCTCGTGAGGCGTCTGCACGATCACTTGAATTTTGATCTTATAGAATACTCCTTTTGTAGTCATATAATTAAGAGTAAGACATCATTCGAAACTATTTGAAATATTAGTTTTATTTGTGTGCATTCACAATAAGAACAAAACATTGTGCTTTTGTAAAATAAAGGAAACAACCAGGATGCCGCTTTCACAAGTTTCATTTTCAGGTCTATGCTCAAGAAGTGGTTAACAGGTAATAAATGGATCATAACTATTCCATAAATATAATTTAGTACAATAAATTCCCCTAATAATACAAAATATTAAAATCTTATTAAAAAATATTAAAATCTTTTCTCAGAATTAAAACAAAAAGTTATATAGTTCTAGTTACCTTTGGTGCAAAGTTGTTTACTTTAGAAAAGTTTTCTCTCTTTCCTTACAGGACTTGGCATGGCACCAGGATTTTTTCTCATTTATGAGTACTGTTGTCGTGAGATGTCATGTGAAAGAGCACACGACCCTCAAGATATCATGCCTTAAGGTTAGCAGCATTCTCTCATATGGAAACGACCTGCAATGTGTTGCTGTGGTGGATGTATTTACCTGCGCTCATATCCGCACAAACTCTCAAGCTCTTCACACCAAACAACTGGACGGCTCTTTCACTGGGTTTTATGATGTTGTGACTAACACACTTTCTTTTCTCCAAACATGCACATTTATTTGAACAAAATACCCTAAAATGACCTTCAGGTTGTTCCGTCCAATGTATAATGTGTTTATACTGGTTTATCTCTGGGACTACTTCACTTTTGTAGACCAAAAAAGTCAGGCAGGTGTTTCTACCCAAGATGCACTTTTGTCACCAAGGATTTGTGTGGAATGCTTTGCAGATGTTTACGGCTCTGAATGAACATGAAAAGTGTATTGCAGTATTTGATTAGAATGCGTTCAGAATTTTCAGCTTTTTTTTGTACTTACCCTGCAGGCCAGTTTGGTTCATGATATATTTTAAGATGCTTCTGAAGTCTGAACAGTTTGCACAGATTTTCCTCGTCTAATTCAATTTAATGTTTGTACTTTGCAGATTTAACAAGTATTCAATGTATGCATTATAGTATTAAGACTTAATAATAAAAAAAAAAAAAATTCAGCACTGTGGGCATGTGATTTTTGACAGGGAAAAAGGAATAAAAGAAATTGATTTGGGCAATAGACTAACAGAATGTTTTTTTATGGTGAATTCAGTAAACGCAAAAGAAACCCAAACCCATGTTTCCTGTCTCACCTCATCTACAGTCCTGAAAATGCAGGGTATTTAGTTGTTAGGCTTTGGAATGGTATTAGAAACGCCTTTTCAGATCATACAGGAAAGATTATTTCACCTAAATCTATAATTAACTTCTGTTACATAAATGCTCATTTCCTTTGATGAAAAAAAATTCTTAGACGTCTACAGTCTTTGTCATATTTGAGAGCAGTCAACCAACCTTTGACTTTCATTTACACACAAAGTTGTCAGTGCTGATCTTTGATCTCAAAAGACATCAGATGAAAATGGGATGCTGATCTTGAATCAGCACTGTAATTATGGAGTTAAATTGCTCCAACGCAGTGACATTAAACCTGTAAGCAGTATAAAACAGTGACGTCTAAAGTTCAAACAGCAGCAGAGGCTAAACACAAATGATTAACTCAGAAATTAGTTTTAATTAAATTGACAACATTAAAAACAAATTAGGAAGACTTGTAATCAGAGGTGAATAATTCGGATGATATTTGAGCATTAAAACAAACGGCCTGTAACAGGATGACACCAGGTCTCGTTAGAACTACAATACTTACGCTTTGGAAATGGAAAAAAAATAAGCACACTAAAATGCAAGCACAGACAAACCACTCAACATGAAAATAATTTGCACAGAACATTTGACAACATTTCCAAAATTCTAAAGTATGTTTTTTTTTTTCTTCTTGATGGTTGTGACCGATATCTAAATAACCAACTTTACTGTTCATACAAGTTGTCGTCTTTGGGGGGAAAAAAAAGGAAACTAAATGACGTTTTCTGTTAGCTCTACCTTAAAAAAATGCAGATTTCCATTCAGAGACAGATAAACTTTGTGGAAACTTTCAGCAATGGCAATGTGGTGAAAGCCTCAGTTTCCTCAAAAACTAGAGCTGATTATTCTGTATTAAAACTACTGTGATGACAGATTCATTACTTCAGTATTTACTCGACACGCAGATGTTACAATCTTATATTCACACACTTATAAAGATGCTACTACAGGAGATCAAACAGTTATGAGGGTGTTACAACTAAACCATGTGACCTAAAACAAGAACCTGACAATCCAAACTGAAGTCAAAACTGCAATGCAAACTTAAATAAGCAGGTAAAAATCGGAAGAGCTTTAAAACAATCATGCTTAGAGCAAACCAAGCATGCACTGAGGCAATGAAAACACAATCAGGGCCTCGTGGGCCACTGAAGTGGAAAGTAAGACCGCCTCATGGCGCCCCCTACTGGAGCTCCCGCCTCATCACAGGCCCTTTGAGAGTGGCCGAAGCGCTGGAATGAGCTCATCCGCAGGACATGTGACTCCACACAAACACTACAAGCCGACACTCTAAACAGCAGAACTGCTGGTTTCTCTCTCACACACATACACCCCACGTGCTTCCTCTTCATCCTGCACTTTAATCAACCCCCCGAATCAGCTAAGCTGGTTTCAACCCCCTCCAATCTTGTCTATCTCACCCTCAAGAAGCAAGCGGTTGTCTATGCACACAGCATTTTAAGGGGAAAATACTGATTTCTTTCTTGTAAAGTGGCTTGATGTGTCACTCCGCTCTTTTTTCGGTTTGACAAAAAGCTCGTTGTATTTTTCCCCTTTATACTCATCCTCTCTGAGTGACATCATTTCTTCATCTCCAACTTTCACAGTGGAGGATGACTGGTTTGTACAGTGGTAGGTCAGGTCTGCGGTTCAGCCTACTTTAGCCCAGATCAGGAACGCTGGGATGTCCCGGACAGGCACGTTACGTGTGAGAGCTTTGACTCGCAGGTTGCGGTCATCCGTGAGCAAGACCACCTCCCTGCGCAACCTCACCGGCCCATCTGGAGAATACAAAGCATGTGAGTCAGAAAAGAGAAATGTTTTTATCAGCTGTTTGGACTCTCATTCTGACGGCACCCATTCACTACAGAGGATCCATTGGTGAGTAAGTGACGTAAAGCAAAATTTCTCCTAATCTGTTCCCATGAAGAAACAAACTCATCCACATCTTGGATGGCTTAAAACTTGGATGGAGTAAATTTGGGTGAACTATGTCTTTAAAAACATAGCAATCATAAAGTCAGATGCTGTAAAAATGTGTAAATGGATTAATAATTAGAAACAAATTCAGATGGAATTCAAAAGCACGCCCTGTGTGATTGGCCCCTAACAAGTAAAAGTAAGTGAACTGACTTCTCTCAGCAGGCATGAAGTCCTTGGCTTTGTCCTGACAGTAGTGCAGACAGCACGACAGGATGACATCATCGTTGTTGCCCTGGGGAGACAGACGCACAATGAGTGGGTGGCTTTAAAATAGAGTTTAAAGTCTTTTTAAAGTGCATTTCTGAACTTCTTAAGGGATTTTTCACACTAGAGTTGCAGGTTGATGTTGAAGCCATTTTCTAAACTTGGGTTGCGCACCATGGAACCGTGTCTGAGTCTCTCCCGACGATTGTTCCCTGAAGATTATCGTTAGACTAATTTTGCAGCCTCTCTGTCTTGTTACTTACATGAGAGTGTTAAGACAGGTGATTTTAAAAGAATCTCTAATTTGAACCTCACTATCAAAAGTAGCTTTAGAGTGGACAAATTGAGTTGTCAGTTCAGAATTAGTTTAAACTGTTAATTTCAGATCAATTCACAATTGTAATCACTAAACTAAAATGATTCTAATTTTTTTTTTTTTTTTTTTTTTTAATTATTTTTATTTATTTAGTCATTTAGCAGCTTACTGCTAAATGACTAAACTTACAGCTTACTTACATGTAATGACTAAACTTTCAGCTTATCTTACTTACAGCTTATATATATATATATATATATATATATA